GGGCGCGGGGCCCGGGGCGGTGAGTGGGGGCGGCAGCCCCTCCGCTTGCCGTGGAGTCCCCGTAGCAGGACACTTTCCCGGCTCCGTTTCCTCCCCTGCGAACGGGGGGAATGGTGCCCTCACCTGGATAGGACTCCGGTGCGTTTCCTAAGAGAAGCCGTAAGGCGCGTGGGACAGCGCAGTGGCCAGGCCTGTACCTCGTGCCTTCGGTCCCACGTCTGTGCTTGCGGGAGGCCTGAGCTCTGCCTCTCCCACCCTCAGGTCGGTTTGGAGTGGCCTTTGGAGTCCGTCTCCTACACCGTCCGAGACCCCAGCCAGCACGAGTTGCAGCCTCCGCCAGGAGGGCCTGGGGCCCTAAGCCTGCGCTTCCTCAACCCCCAGGAAGCCCAGCGGTGGGCAGCCCTGGTTCGAGGTGCCACGGCGGAGGGACACAATGGTCAGTGCCGTGGGGCAAAGGTTCATTCGGTTGGCCAGGGACTGTGCTGGGAGGGCGGGAGTCTCCCTGGCCCTCAGGCCTGGATGGGGAAGGTAGTGGGTAAAGTCGGGCCCACTGCTGGCCGCCCGGGGAGGCCCCCAGGAGAAAGCGGGGAAAGGAACGGGCCCAGAGCTGGGGCCTGGAGGACCAGACTGGTGTGGAGGGGCAGCGCCAGCAGGTCCAGGACCTGGGGCGAAGACACTGTCTCAAGAGCTGCGGGAAAGTATTCAGTGGGAGAGGGACAGGCTCGGACTGCGCTCCTCAAGGTTGGCTGCGACCTGCACTCGTGGGCGGGTGCAGATAGGGCTGGAGAGAAGGATGTTTCCAGAGATAATTAGGAGATGAAGTCGGCTGGGTTTTGTGGGTGTTTAATGAGAAGAGTTAGTGGTTGGGACAGGAAGACGGGGAACCAAATGCCCTTGGGCTCCCAGAGAGGAGTCCTGTTTGGAAGAGCATGGAGGGGGTGGGAGTGGTGAGTCTGGGCTGGAGCTGGGCCTCTGGAGGTGGGAAGGGTTAACCGGGGTCAGCAGGAGCGAAGAGCCCACAGATGCATCAGAAGAGCTGCCAGAGGGGCAGGAGGAGAACCGCACAAGATGAGGTGCATAGCATTTGCGAGGGAGAGAGCTCTTCCATTCACTCAGTCGCCAGGTGTATCCCTGGTACCGTTCCGGACTCAGCACTCCCTGAGGCCTTGGAGACTGAGCACGAATACAACTTCCAAGTCTGCTCTCGGAGCTTTTGGTTCTAGCGGGGAGGCAGACATAGTGAGTAAATAAAATTCTGTCAGATGGTGGGAGAGATGGGAGTGGGAGGGAGGCAGTGAAGGCCTCCTTAGGTGACACCGAGTGAAGTTGAAGACTGAGGTGTGACCCATGTGGCCAGAGAGCAGTGGGTACACAGGCCCTGAGGCAAGAGCATGCATTGAGACGGGGCCAGCTGGTGCTGGGTGCCTGGGAGCCCTGCTTGTCTCAGTGGGCAGACGGGTCAGAATTCTGAGGGGCTGAGCTGCCTCAACTCAGGTGGGCTGGGCCTTAAGCGGAGGGAAGGGGAGAGACAGCAGCCAGCTCTGTAAGGACACCCAGGGCAGACAGTGGCCTGAGAGGGCTTGTCTGGGATGGGAGAGTCTGGGTGTGCTGATGGTAGAGGAAGGAGAGGGGATGGAGGTCCCTGAGGGCACCAAGAAGAGGCCATGCTGACTGCAGGGCTCCTACGCACCTGCTTTGGTTCTCCTGTGAGGTCAAGGGAATATCCCTGGCTGGTGGAGAGGGCCTGTGGAGGCCAGGAGAAGTCTAGCCTCCGTGGCAGAGGGACACAGGTGGGACCAGATGGCAGAGGGTCCAGAAGGCTCTAGAGCACAAGTGCAGCTCCAGCTCTGAAAGGAGTCAGCAGGGACCCTTGGAAAGGCCAAGGCTTGAGGGAAGGCTGGACTGAAAGTGTGGCCAAGGCAGAGCCCTGGCATGAGCTGAGGGGAGGAGGGAGGAGGGAGGAGGCAAGGGTCCTGGACACCTGAGGTCAGAGAGCAGAGGCCCAGGTGAGGTGAGTACTTAGCGGGGAGGCTGATCTCGGGAGACCACCTGCCCACCCCACGTCTTCCCTCCTAGGCAGTGACACCCTGCCTCCAGCCCTGGGCCCAGAGACGTGCCCTGTTTCCCCACCCAGTCCCCCTGAAGCGCACACACTCAAGGCCCCCAAGATGGATGGTCCAAGTTCTGGAGACTTGATGGAGAAAGGTAAAGGCAGGTGGCCAAAGGGGGTGGGGCAAGCTGCCATGCCCAGCTGTGATGGTGCACTCTCTCCTTGTAGAAGAGCTGGCAGGGCGCCTGGCCCAGGCCATTGAGGATGGAGATGGGAAGGGGGCAGCCCAAGCTGCAGCCCTCCTGGCCCAGCATCATGTGGCCCTCAGTGTCCAGCTCCAGGAGAGCTGCTTCCCTCCTGGCCCCATCAGGTGAGACCTGGGACTTCGTCCTCACCCCCCCCTCCCAATCCTCCAGGCACCCCATCATTCTCTGAACCGAAATTCTGGCCCAGGCTACAGGTCACAGTGGAAGATGCTTCGTCCTCTGCCCACGTCTCGCTGCAGGTCCACCCCCACTGCACCATCTCGGCCCTCCAGGAGCAGGTGAGCACGGGGTCGGGGGAGCCCTGCTGGAGGCAGGGACCCTGGGTGACTGCCTGGCCCTGACGCTCTGGCTCCAGGTCTTCTCGGAGTTTGGCTTCCCACCAGCTGTGCAGCGCTGGGTCATTGGCAAGTGCCTGTGTGTGCCCGAGCGCAGCCTCGCCTCCTACGGGGTCTGGCAGGACAGGGACCCTGCTTTCCTCTACCTGCTCTCAGCCCCGCGAGAAGCCCCAGGTCAGTCCTTGGTTGTTGGGTGAGGAAGGTGGGGTACAGCTGACAAGGCCCTGAGCCCCACCCCCTCTACCATAGGACACAGCCGTCAGCGCCCCCAGAAGATGGATGGGGAACTAGGCCGCCTGTTTTCTCAGACACTGGGGCTGCCCCGAGCTCCTCAGCCAGCCAGCTCCAGCCTCCCCAGCCCCCTTCAGGTAGACAGGAGCCAGGTAAGGTGGGCCTGGGCAGCTGTGGGCATCGGAAGGAAGGGGTCAGCAGCTACTGTTCCTCCTCCACAGCCCGGCTGGCCCTGCCCTTCCTGCACCTTCATCAACGCCCCGAGTCGGCCTGGCTGTGAGATGTGTAGCACCCAGAGACCCTGCGCTTGGGACCCGCTTCCTGCAGCCTCTACCCAGCAGTCGCCAATGGTACCAGAGGCAGGGAAGGGGGTGGGATGGGGAGGGCAGCAGAACAGCAAAATGACTCCTCTTCTCCCTACCCCCAGGTCACAAGGAGAGAGGACGGCCCTTCCCTTCCCGGCCCAAGGTCCCTGGATGCCCTTCTGAACCTCTCAGGGGACCTCCACTGACAGCTCCCTGGGGACAGATCCTGAGATGCGGGGAGAGGCCATGAGCCAAAGACATTAAAGATTCTTCTGAGCCAGCTGAGTGCCCCCACTTTGTGCGAACTGGGCAGCTGGGAGGATGGAGAGCAGGGCACAGTGCCACCCAGGACACCTGGCAGAGAGGGCATAGTCTGGCTCTCGGCTGGGCTGCCCAGCCGGGTCCAGGTAGCTACTCAAGAGCTTACTTGGGCCGAAACCGGTTTGGCTCAGTGGATAGAGCGTTGGCCTGCGGACTGAAAGGTCCCAGGTTCGATTCCGGTCAAGGGCATGTACCTTGGTTGCAGGCACATCCCCAGTAGGGAGTGTGCAGGAGGCAGCTGATCGATGTTTCTCTCTCTCATCGATGTCTCTAACTCTCTATCTCTCTCCCTTCCTCTCCGTAAAAAATCAAAAAAATATATTTAAAAAAAATAAATAAAATAAATAAAAAAAAGATCTTACTTGGACCCCAAGTCCCAAGAGGCCTACAGGCATGGTGCTGAGACCTTCTCACACACTGAGAGGCTTGCAGAGCCCTCACCCCCCACCCCAACTGCGGACCACTGGGCTAGGGCCCTCTGTGAGCCCCACTCCCAGCCACCATGCCTCCCCTCCTCCACCTAGAGCCCTTCAGGCATGCACCCTTTTCCTTTCTCCCACTCAGCTCTCTGCTCTCCTAATTGGCCACCACTCCTTAGGGCTGCTCCAGCCAGGATGCCTTAAATTCCCTTCTGGGGACAAGAAAAACTCAGGAGCCCCGAGCCAGGGCCCTGCGCTACTGCTAAGGCAACATGTCTGTGGCCCTCCTACCACTGACAGACCCACTGCGGTCCCCCTCCCCAGCCGGCTGCTGTTGCTCCCAGCTCTGCCTGGCTGTCTGGCCTGGACCCGCCACAGCTGCCTGTTGATTGCTAGGGGCGTGCACTCCCCGCTCCCCTCCAGCAGGACCCTTTCTCAGTGGACCCCTCTAGCGGTGCAGCCAGAGGCCAGGAGCACATTCTGGGCTGGCTCCCCCTGCTTATCTGCTTCCTGGGCAGAGGTGAGAGTTTCTCCCTCCCAGCCATGCCCAGCCCAGCAGCTCCCTCAGCTCCTACCGCAGGCCAGGCCCCTCCCTCTGGAATGCGGCCAAGGGCTCCCTTCCTGCTGCCTCAGAACGAAGGCCAAGGGGTTCAACACTGACACTTGGCTGGTTTCTCTGGCAGATCCCTGGACCATGTCCAGCCAGGCCCTTTCCACCTCTCTCCCTACCCCAACGAGCTGCCATCTCTAACAGGTCTGCTTCCTGTCTCACATACAGACCTGATGGGACTCCCAGCCAGCAGTCAGTGCCACACGGCATGAGACAGTCCTGGGAGCTCCGAGGGCAAAGGTCTTACTCTGAGTCCCCTGCAAACTACACTCTCATCACACAATAGCCCAAATGTGTCTATTGAGAAACTTAATTTATTTCCATGATAGAGACTGAAGGATCTGGAGCTCCAGCCCGATCTCCTGCCCCCTTCCCTTTTGTCCCAGAGAAGAGGGGCTTGGCCAAGAGGGCCAGCTGGGGTCTAAAGAGACCCAGGGTGGCTTCTTGGCTTGAAGGCCCATTCAAACAGGACGGCAAGCAGACCTTCGGCAGGGTCACTTGGGTGGACGATATGCCAGCTTCCGGCTCTTCAGTACTGACCACTTATGCCGCTTCATGGCGTACACCAGGGGCAACAGCAAGCCCATCATCATCAACATCTGGGGATGAGACAGGCTCAGAGAAGGGAGGCAGAAAGGAGCCCTGCCCAGCTCCCAGCCTCCCTCTGCCATGCCCACTGTGCCCCCTTGCCCGATCCTTTCACCTTGAGCCCCATGCGTTTCCGATGGTCATGCTCTGGCTCGGATGCCCAGCGCAGGAAGGTGCACACATCCTTGGCTACCTGGGACATGGTAGCTGGGGTGCCTGGACCAAGGACAGGTGGTGAGGGCTACCTTGGGGCCCCTGCCCAACCTAGGATACCCCCAGAGCACCCCTTCCATGGTAGATGGGTCCCTGCCCAAGGCTTCAAAAGGGATGGGACCCCTCAGGACACAATGGCCTGAGCTGGTCAGGGCAGTGAGGCTGCCCACAAGCCTCAGACACGCACAGTGCCCCAACCAAGGGAACCCAGTGGGGAAAGTAGGGACCTCACCATCGTCAAACTCCAAGACCTCGTCGTAGATGGGAGGAGCCATGCCGATGGACTGGCCAGGGAAGTAGGGGTTGAAGTAGAGGCCTTCTCGTAGCGACACCCCGGTGGGCGGCTCACAGTAGCCCGTGAGCAGGGAGAAGACGTAGTCTTCACCACCGTGCCTAGGACCAAATCCATGCCGCCTCAGCCTCTGGCAGGAGTGGGACCTGCCTCCCCTCCCGCCAGCCCTGCGGGAAGCCTGCGTACCTAGCTCGCACGATGTAGCTGAGGTCAGGGGGCACGGCTCCATTGTTGGCTGCTCTGGCAGCCTCAGGGTTGGGGTACGGTTTGGGGAAGTAGTCAGACAGCTTTCCGGGTCGCATGAACATCTCCCCATCATCATTGGGGCCGTCCTGAATCTCCACCTGCCACGAGAGCACCATCACCACCCTGCTCTGTCCTCCACAGAGAGAGCCCCAATCCCTGGGCCCTTGGCAACGTCCCCAGGCACCCCACCTCTTCGGCCAGGGCTTTCGCTTCATCCTCAGTGTAGCACACGCCCACCAGGTGGCGGTAAGCCACGTAGTCCATGCTGTGGCAGGAGGAGCACACCTGCTTGTACACCTGGAAGCCCCTCCGGATGCTAGAGAGAGGGAGAGGGTCAGCGGTGCCCGGGGCCCACCCCACCCCCAC